AACCAATGCCCCCGCTACCGGTTCAATGGAAGTCTCCTTATCCTTCTTACGAAGTTGATAAGTCACAAGAGCCGCAGTGACCTCACTATACGAAAGAGATGCCTTCCCATTAATAAGAGTGAGGACGAATGTCTCATATTCCTCGTCGGGCAAGAAACTCAATAACAACAATGCATTGTCCTCATCTTCAACTATAACATCTACATTCACCAAATCTGTAAGTAGCTTCATGTAGTGGTTCATGTGATCACTAATGGATGTCCCTTTCTTCAATTGGAAGCGATAAAGCCTCCTCTTCAAATCTTTAAATACAAGTGATTTTCGATGCTCTTCGTCAAATACTTGCCCTCTAGGACCTCCCAAATCTTCTTTGCAGAAGTCTCATTCATCACATCATATTTTAGATCTTGAGTGAGGTAAGACCTAATCACACCACACGCCGTTCTATTCATTTTATTCCAAACCTTATCATCAATGTGCCGGTTTCCCGTCCAACTCCAACGTATCTTCCAAATTTTGCGCATTTAGCGCACCCATGACTTCGCATCGTCAAAGGCCAAAATTATTTGTGCCGTTGAACTTTTCCACATCTATTTTCATAGAATATATATTCAAACTTTGGACGGCCTTCACACTAGAAGAACCCTCCCCATTTTTATCTTTTTCGGCCATATATCTTAAAGTACCCAAACTATTACGGAACAAACAAGAAATAGATCCAACTTAAAAAAGATAGAAACTTCCCAACCGATCTACACCTTCAAAAAAAGCCCAAGCGTTGCCCGGTGCTCTGATACCACTTGTTGTGCCTCGAGAAACCAAACCAACCGTCGGAAGATACAAACCAACACAACCAAAACAATAGCACAAACACAATAACACCAGTTTTAACGTGGTTCGACGAGATGCCTACGTCCACGGGGTAAGGAGGGGGAGTTTTTATTATTAGAAATCAAGAGGAACAAACTAGGGTTACAAATCTCTCATAAACCCTCAACAAATCAACTCTCAATCTCTCCAATTGCTCCTAGAATAGAAGCCCAAAGAAAACCCTTTCAATCTGCTAAAAACATCTTGCTTACAAACCCTAGAATTGAGTTTAGGTATTTATAGAAAACCCAAACGAAACGGGTCTGAAAAACAGACCCAGCCCAAAACCGTTACGGTGGTCGACTGTGGGGGTCGACCGCGATCCATCGCGGTTGACCGCCACGGTCGATCGCCCTCAATCCCAGAACAACCCCAATCTTCAGCAACTTTTTGCGGTCGACTGCGGCGATCGACTGCCACGAATACATAAACTTCTGCGGTCGACAGCCACGGTCGACCGTCACAGGTGCAGACACACAGTAAGGGCTGTGCACAAACGCAATCGACCGCCAAAGCCTACGGTCGACCACCAAACTACCAGAAGCTGAAACTGAGCCTGAAATCTGCTATTCTGCCAATTCTACACAGCCAGCCTTGGTTGATATGAATATCATCGTCTGCAACCTGGAGTTTGTAAATACTTAATGCCACCTTAAGTCATTAAACATTCTCTTTCTTGTCTCCAGCTTCCACAGTAGGAAATAGTAATAGGTTTATAGCGTGATAAGGAGTTAATAGCAGCTAGCAGCAATTACTACTTATTAAGAGACTGGATTGGAAGCTGGCAGAATGCCAGGTGGCGTTATCTCTATGTCTATGATCTTCTAGAGCTTGGGAACACCTTCCCATGCTGATTGCTTGCAAGAGTGCATTGTGCATTTTTCCATACAAAGCACTGTTTGGGATTCAATAGGGGTCACAACTTCCACATTGGAACTCAGCTTATCTATCTTTCGATTATCGGGTTGTTTGGTTCATTTCCTTCATTTTCTAAAACTTATTTTTCTTCATTTTTTGGTGTTTTCTTCATTTTCATGAAAATTATTTTTTGTGTTTGTTTCGCCAAAAAATATCAACGGAAAGTACTTTCCCCCACTTTTTTTAGTTTGGTTCAAATTGGAAAAAGAAGAAAACAATTGATATGTGAATAGATTCCATCATTTTCTAGTGTTTGGTTCAGACTAAAAAATCAAAAAAACTTGATTGTGGTCACCATGGTAAGATTACCACATTTATAAGATAAATTTATTTCCAACATAAATTGAAAGGTGAACATATATCAACCGTCGCATAAAAATATTTAAAATTTTGAGGAACTTATTTGTAATTTTTAAAAAAGATTTGAGGTAGTGATTTGCAAAATATTCAAGATTTGAAGGCCTAATTACAAAATGCTCGATGAACAACATTTGAAGAAACCTGATGCTCAAGAGAAAAATATGCTCAGTTATAGACTTTTTTTTCATTGTATACCCCACCATGAAATTTATAATAGCAATGTTGGCTGCATGTATTACCTCACCAATTGATTACTAGTATAGATTTTGGCTGCATACATTAAAAAAAGATCATCATCATGGCATAATATCATATTATCAGTGTCATAACAACCAATGCCAAAGACTCAGTTAGTTCTAACATTCCAGCTAGTGTTATTTCTAATATAAGCATTAGTTCTAGTGGTATGTTAGTTCTAGTTGAGCCAATGTTAGTTCTAATGGCTCTCGTGCTAGTTCTAGCTACTGTCATATTAGTTCTAACATTCTAACTAGTGTTATTTCTAATATAAGCGTTAGTTCCAGTGGTATGTTAGTTCTAGTTGAGCCCATGTTAGTTCTAGTGGCTCTCATGCTAGTTCTAGTTGTTGTCATGTTAATTCTAACATTTTAGCTAGTGTTATTTCTAATATAAGCGTTAATTCTAGTTGTATGTTAGTTCTAGTTGAGCCCATGTTACTTCTAGTGGCTCTTGTGCTATTTCTAGCTGCTGTCATGTTAGTTCTAACATTCCAGCTAGTGTGCGTTAGTTCTAGTTGTATATTAGTTCTAGTTGAGCCCCTATTAGTTCGAGTGGTTGTGGCTCGCGTGCTAGTTCTAGCTATTGTCATGTTAGTTCTAACATTCCAGCTAGTGTTATTTCAAATATAAGCGTTAGTTTCAGTGGTACGTTAGTTCTAGTTGAGCCTCCTGTTAGTTCTAGTGGCTCTCGTGCTAGTTCTAGCTATTGTCATGTTAGTTCTAACATTCCAGCTAGTGTTATTTTAAATATAAGCGTTAGTTCCAGTGGTACGTTAGTTCTAGTTGAGCCTCCTGTTAGTTCTAGTGGCTCTCATGCTAGTTTTAGCTGCTGTCATGTTAGTTCTAACATTCCAGCTAGTGTTATTTCTAATATAAGCGTTAGTTCTAGTTGTATGTTTGTTCTAGTTGACTCAATGTTAGTTCTAGTGGTTCTCGTGCTAGTTCTAGCTGCTGTCATGTTAGTTCTAACATTCCAGCTAGTGTTGTTTCTAATATAAGTGTTAGTTCTAGTGGTATGTTAGTTCTAGTTGAGCCACTGGCGTTATCGGATCTGGATCCGGATCTGGATCCAAATCTTGATCGGAGCTCCGACGGGTTCGAATCAACGACGAAGATCGATCGGAGGCTCTCTTGTGAACGGATTTTGCGAGCCTTTGTTCTCTTAATCAGATTTGGCATCGATTTTCTTTTGTATTTGTTATTTGTCGCTGTCCTCAGGAGGCGAGGGAGGGGAAGGAAGGCGCCGGAGAGGTAGATGATCTCAAAGTTTCCGTCGAAGGAGAGGACGGAGCAGGAGAGCTGGAGGAGGGAGACAGAGGTGACGAGGCCGAGATGGCTGAGGAGGGAGAAGTCGCGACGGCGGCGGAGGGTGAGGGAGGAGATGGAGGAGGGGAGGTCGGAGCCGAGGAGAGGCGGAGGCTGGAGGAGCGGAGGGCGGTTGGGGCGTCATTAAGGATTTATCGGAGGTCGTCGTTGAGGATCAGAAAAGAGGAAGAAGAATGAAAAGGGAGAGAGGGGTGACCAGAACGAGAATGGAAGGGGGTGAGGAATCAGGTTTTTTTGTATGGAGAGAGAAAAGGGGTGTTTTCCGTTGTAATCGGGGTTTTTTGAGCAGAAAAAAGTTTTCGGGAGAGGAATCTGATGTGGCACCCCAACTTTCCTTCACTTTCCTTTTTAATTTTTTGCAAACCAAACATATGATTGTGGGGAAAAACAGTGAGTCAGCTTTCTGATAGGTCACTTTCTGCCCCTTTCTGTATTTTTTTGACCAAACAAACAGGCCCTAATAAGAATTTGAAAGAGTAACAAAA